GGGTTATTACAAATGAAGTTTCTGTGAATGTTCATGTACAGGTTTTTGTGTGAACACACATTTTTATTTTTCTAGGATAAACATCCAGTAGCGCAATTGCTGGGTTGTATGGTTAACAGGTATTTAATTTTATGAGAAAGTGCCAAATTGTTTTCCAGAAGTTGTACCATTTCACTTTACCACTGGCAGTGTATGAGGGTTCTAGTTGCTCCACATCTTTATAACTACTTGGTATTATCACTATTTCTTTAAAATTTTAGTCATTCTAGTATGTGTAGAGTGGCATTTCATTGTTGCTTTAGTTTGCATTTGCCTGATATCTAATTATATTTAACATCTTTTCATGTGTTTATTTGCCATTTGTGTATCTTTGAAGAAGTGTCTGTTCAAAGAGCTGCCTCACTTTGGTTTTAAAATGTGCCGAATCATCCACATCTCTATCTCTAACTTCCCCCCAGGACTTCAGAATGGGGATGTAAATGCTGCAAATGCCTCCTGACATCTTCATGGAAGTCCCCCCCACCACTGTAATCCCAATATGGCCAAAGCCAAAACCACCATCCCACAGGAGTCCTGGGCCTCCCCAGTGGAAGAACTACCACTTAGAGGGTTTACTTTGTGCTAAACACTGTTCCAAGTGCTTTATATATTTTAATTAACTTAATCCTTACAATGATCCTTTAGGTAGTACTGGGTTTTGTTTTGTTTTGTTTTAAGATTTTATTTATTCTGGGGCGCCTGGGTGGCTCAGTCAGTTAAACGTCTGCCTTCAACTCAGGGCATGATCCCAGGGTCTTGGGATCGAGCCCTATATCGGGCTCCCTCTCCCTCTGCGGCTCCCCCCTGCTTGTGCTCTCTCACACACACACTCTCTCTCTCTCTCTCTCAAATATAACGATTTTATTTATGTATTGGGGTGGGGAAGGAGCAGAGGGAAAAGGAGGCACAGAGATCTTGAGTAACTCACCCAAGCTTACACAGCTGGCAGTTGGCGGTTGGGTCTATCCAGATCCCAGAGTCACCCTTGATTCTCCTGTCTTTCTCACGTCCCCATGTCTGTTCAGTCATTAAAACCTGCGCATTTGCCTTCTGAATATTTTACTTCCATCATCTTTCCTCCAACCCTTATAACTACTGCTCTGGTGCAGCCATCTTTTCTCTTGTCTGGACCACTGTAAGTACCTTTAAAAAAAAAAAAAACAAAACTTTTTATTATAGAAGATTTCAACAATGCAAAAAAGTAGAGACTAGTACAATGAATACGCCCATTGCTACAACCAGTATAAACTCATGGCCATTCACTTCATCTGTACCGCTCACTTCCTGTTGCCGCCTAACCGCGTTATTTTGAAGCAAATTTCAGCATATTAATGCATCTATAAATATTTCAGTATGAGTCTCTAAAACAACTTTCAAATAACAATCACAATACCAGGGGCACCTGGGTGGCTCGGTTGGGCGTCTGCTTCAGCTCAGGTTGTGATCTCAGGGTCCTGGGATCGAGCCCCATGTCAGGCTCCCTGCTCAGCCGGGAGTCTGCTTCTCCTTCTCCCTCTGCTGCTCCCCCTGCTCATGCTCTCTCTCTCTCAAATTAAAAAAAAAAAAATCACAGTAACATTCTTCACATTATGCATTAGGTATTTCTTTAAATCATTAACTAATCATATTTGCATTAGTTATCCACTGCTGTGTAACTGGGTGATTTAAAACAATAATAAACATTTATTGCTGCTCACAGTTCCCATGGGCTGGAAACCTGAGAGCAGATGAGCTAGGTGGTTCTGGATCAGTGTCTCCTGAGATGCCAGTCACCTGGAAATCCAACAGGTCCCGGAGGATCTGCTTTCCGTGCAGCACATCGACACTGGCTGGCAAGTGGGTGCTGGCTATTGGCAAGGGGCTCCAGTCCTCAGTACCAGGGCTCTCCACAGGGCAGCTTGAATGGCCTCACAACCTTGCCTGGTTTCCCCAGAGCAAGCAAACCAAGGATCCAAGGAGGAAGCTGCAAGACTTTCATGACCCAGCCTCGTAAGTCACACACACGTCTACAATATTTCCTGGGTCACACATGCCAGCCTGCTTCACTGTGAGAGGGTGGGAATACCAGGAGGCTAGGATTTTAGGAGGTCGTCCTGGAGAATGGTAACCACAGGTTCAAATTGCCCCAGTTGTCTGTCTCTCTCTCATTTATAGTTGGTTTATTTGAATTAGGATCCATGCTTGCATTTTGTTGATATGGCTCGTAAGTCTTATTCTCTAGGTTCCTTTCCCTCTTGTTTTTTCATTTTGTCTTTTCTTTGCCCTTTTTTTTTTTTTTAAGAAGCCAGGTTGTTTGTCCTTAGTTTTACATTTACTGGATTTTGCTGCTTACATCCCCATGATGTCATTTAACACAGTTCTCTGATTCATGTCTTTCCTGTAAACCAGTACTTAGATCTAGAACTTAATATGATTCAGATTCTTTTTTTTCCCCCCAAGAAAGCTTCAATGGTAATGTTTTCATTATTTCATTAGAGGTTTACAAAATAGTGATAAATTAACCCTATAATTCCATCATCTAATAGCTGGAATATTTCTGTAGATAGAAACTTTCACTCACTTTTTGACTACCTTGCTGCACAGTTAATACAGAAAAGATACATGCTTGTTTCTTTCTCTTTATTAACAAGTACTAGCATCCTTCAAAGGTGACCAATAAGATATTTTTAAAATATCATCATGAACTTGTAGATTTAAAACATTTGACAAATGATCACATCTTCAGCCAGGAGGCACCTCTTCAGGTTAGCCCCTGCATCCCTGACTTATACCAGCCACCTTTGACTTGTTTACTCTCTGCCATAGCATTATGCTCTGGGTGCATCCTGCACATCTCCTAAGCAGACCCCTCAGAACCATGTCCCCAAGAAGTTCTGGTTCTTTTTAGTGGGAAAGGAAAAAGACCACAATCTGGGTGGAGTATCTTTACCTTTCAATGGCACCCAACCCTGTCCATCCTCCAGTCACCTGAGATGTAAAAATGCAAAGCTGACCACTCCCCTGCTCAAAAGTCCTAAAAGGGACTCTGTCGCCCTCAGGACAAAGCCAGTTCCTAAGCACAGAATAGCCAGTCCTGGGGCGCCTGGGTGGCTTAGAAGGATGAGCGTCTGCCTTTGGCTCAGGTCATGATCTCCAGGTCCTGGGATCGAGTGCTGTCGGGCTCCCAGCTCAACGGGGAGTCTCCTTCTCCCTCTGCCTCTCCCCGTTTGTGCTCTCTCAAATGAATAAATAAAATCTTTTAAAAAAAAAACAGCCGGTCCTGTACTGTTTCCCCATTTCCTCCTCCCTCCCACTTCCTCCCAGTCTCCTTAAACTTTAAAATCCAGCAGAACCTAATGTTTTGTTGCTCCGGTACCTACTTCACCTCATTGCCTGTCTCGCTTTAACTCAATCTTGGAGATTCAGCTTTCTCAGGTGTCATCTCCAAAACACTTTTTCCTGAACCGCCAGGCAGGAATGTCTCCCACTGTCTCGTGGCCACCGTGCCCACACCAGTGTAAGCACCCAACGTCTCCACGCAGCTCTCCTGCCCTGCTCAGCTGTGAAGAGCTCAAAAGCAGTCATTGCCTTATCCAGCTTTACCCCCAACATGGAGTACATCGTCTGGTGCCTAGTGGATGCCCCCATCTGATCACCTGCTTAGGCAGGACACTGTCTCTTCCCAGTGCAGAAGTCCTTCCCTTCTGCCCCCCACCAGTGCCTTCTTCACTGTACTTCAGGCCTGCACGTCTGCTAGGCATGGAAGGAGCTGCTGTGTTAATCTGTTTAATCTGTATTTGGTGGGCTCACTGGGGGCTGGGGGAGGACCAAAAGGGAGCTCACTCTCCTACTCGAGTTACTAAGATTGGGGATGGGGAAGATTTTGCCCAAACCACGTCACACTCCCTTCTCCACTCGAGCCAGCTGGAGCCCCAGCCAGGATGAAGGTGGGGATGGAAAGGATGACACCAGCCAGGAGACACCGACAGTGTAACGTCGCCCACATAGAGCAACAATGAACAGGAGCTCTGGAGACAGTGTGCCAGGATTTTTTGGACAGATTTGCCACCACCTGCTGGCATGACCTGGGAAGTTATTGATCATATGTAGTAAATGCACCCCCTTCTTAGGCTATCAGGAGTATTAAACAAAACACAGAAAGCACCTTGCAGTGATTTATTGTGAACGCTATGTTGTGCCTGGTAAGTGAAGGCAACTTCCCCCAAACAGAAGGCCTTTAGAGTCTCTGAGACTGGAGTTTTTCAAAGTCAGTAAGAGAAAAAAGGTTGAGAAGAGAGCTTAAGGTACACTTTCCAAGTTGGGGAGAGTGGCTAAGGGATGCGGGTATGTGGAATCCAAGAGGTCAACTGGGAGTAACCTGAACCAGTCAGGGTTAACAGTCAAATCCGAAGAGGAAGCTCTGTGTCTACGATGAACATGGCAACTAGAGGGCAAGCATGCTGAAATGGAATAACCTAATTATAATGCAAACTGGCTTATAATCTCGTATCTCTATAGACAAGGATTTTTGTATTTTTCACTTATGATTCCTATCACCTAGAAGGGAGCCTGGCCACAGCAGGTGACCAAAAAGACTTGCAGAACGAGTAGAGTATGATGCCTTTCCCATTATGCATCCAAAATTCCAAAGCCTGGCCATCTCCACTGGAACGGGTGGCACATGCTGCTACCACAAAGTGCCTAAAGGCTGGGGGGTGGAGGGCGGGAGGACGGGAAAAGGCCTGGGCTCTATACTGCACAGAGGAAATTCCCAAAAGTTGTGGCAAACTGGGGCTAGAGTGGGAGGCCTACGGGGGCGGGGGGAGAGGGGAGTCCCTGTTTCTTTCTAGTCACCAGTCTGCTAAGTCTAGATCAGAAACTCAATCCTGTTCCACTCCCAGGCCCTGCTTCTAAGGCAAGTGAGACAGTACCCAAGCCCATGTTCAGCTGTGGCCTTGAATTTAACACACACTTACACCAGGAAAGGTTAAAGAATTTTCTTTATTTTTTACAAATTAAGACTATGTAGATTTCATATATTTCTGAATCAAAAACACCTTTGTCTTCACAGTATGAGTTAGAGAATGCAGCCTGAGCTGAAAACCAAGGAACTAGAAGAGAAAGTTATAATTACAGTGATTACTGTATTAAAAACCTGTTAGGCATTTTCTTTAAAAGTTGTTTTTTTAGATCTTGTCATTCTTGGCACTGTTTCTAAAGAAAAACTCCTTTATCCCAAGCAAAAAAGCACAAGAGGTGGAGTTTGGCTTCAAGAGATGTAACTGAAGATTCTCAGGCCTTGGAGAGAATCAACAAATTTACGGAGAGGGCGATTGGGCGTTTAATGGGAAGGAAGTCCCTTTATTAAAAGTTCTCAAGCCAGAGGCTGGAGGCGGTAGCTAGTCAGAGGGTAGCATCCTCTGCAGAAGCCAGCCATTCCGGGCAGTGCGCCACTCCAGGAATACACACACTCCCTGGGAACCGCTTCTCAGGGTGGCACGGTGATATGGTGCACTGCGAACCAGCAGCCGCTGGGTCAAACTGTGTGCTGCTTGTGCATGGGAGAGCCAAAACTGGTATCCTCCCGGCAATGAGCTGTTGATGGCTCAGGCCCCTGCCACGGAAGCCCTGTGAAGAGCCGGAGCCACAAGTGCTCTCCAGGCTGCCTGCCCTTCTCCGCCAGTGCCCTGCGGCAGCGCCCTGCGAAAGCGCTGGTGATCCCCATTAGTGCTGGCCTCCCACACTCACCACCAAGCAAGCTGGAGGGAATCAGAGGTCTTGCAGGTTTGGTCACCTGTCCCTGGCTGGAAGGCTACAGATTTCGGGGAACAGGTGAAGAGACCAAAAACTAAAGTGCATCTGTAAAATGAATGTTTATCTACCGCCCCACATCTCCGGCCTGACCCTACTGGCGTCCAGGCGGGAGAAGACAGAAATGCACTGGACTGTTATGAATGCTGCCTCCCGAGTCATCACAACCCACTTCTGCCGCTCAAAACAAAGAACCATTCAGTTAGCAGCGTTCTTCTCCCCCACTGCCCCAAACAGGTCCTCATCTGGGTCTGTCGGGCAGGATTAGTTTACGATTACCCCCTAAGATTACCCCCAGGCTCAACCATTCCCCTTCCCTAGCCTTCCTCTCTCCTGGTATCTGTACTCGAAGCCAGGTGGGGGAACCCACTCAGCAACTAAGGTGATAAAAAATAAAGACAGGGGAAGTTTGGGACTTCTCTGCTCTCTCTTGCCATACATAACCAGTCTTTTCATAAATACCTGACAAGAATCGGTCTTTCCTTTGTGCTGAAATCCTCCCGCCCCATGGATGGAAAAGCGGCAGATTCCCTGAGGGTCAGACCAGGGACAGGGAAAGGGAACACGTCAATCCACATTCCTTTTGGGATAGCAAGACAGAATGGTGTGTTTGCCAGACCAGCAGCAGCTTGGGCAGCTCAGAGGAAGCAAAGCATCCAACAGAAGAGGCTCTTCGTTTTCTTTGTAGGGGTTGACAGTAGCTCAGATGTAATGAGCCTGAATTACAACAGGACCACCAAACTCCTCTCCGATGGAAAGCACACTGCCCAGCCCCACAGGAACATGCACAAACCACACAACGCTGAGGAAAAGAGCTAAAGTAGCTCTACCCAACAGTTCAGGTGCACCTGGTGAAGCTCGGGTGGAAAGCGGACTCCTGGAGTTTGCTCTGCTGTGGGTCCCACTCCTCATCGCGGTGACCAGCTGGCTGCCTGAGCAGAGGAAGAGGCTAGGGACGGGCTGGACAGAAAAAGGGAGTGGGGAAGAACCCCAGGAATACGAAGCCAAACTCCAAACTATATTCTGCTAATCAGTTTTTTGATCAAAAAATTCAAAATAGAGAAAACCACAAAGTACAAAAGCTTTTCTGATGCTTTTCATTATCACAGAACACACCACCTGCAATGTGTGCAAAGAGGAAATGAGGGTTGGAGGGACAGAGGTCAAAATGGGAAAGGCTGCATGGTCATTTCATTTCTTCTCTTTCTTCTTGTCCTAGAAACGGAGAAAAATTGCCCAATTAATTTTTCGCATCTGACATTCAAGCTCAAACTCTTGAATGAGCCAGTACCTGGCTGCCTTTGGTTAGGGACTGGAAGGGAACAAGACGATAAGAGGAAGGAGAAATACTCATTCAGTGGGATAGGAACTGAATCTTAACCATCTTCCACTGAGTGTCCCTCAAGTTGCTGACAGACCTGACAAGAATAAAGGTTAAGCAGTTGCTCCCACTTCCACCCCAAGAGTACCCAACTGGGCTGCTGCCTGACCACTCCTGGCTTACTCATAACCACCACAGCTCTAATCCTAACCCGTGAAGGCTGGAGACTGGTAGTCGACCCTAAAATAACTACACAAGAGGCCAAGATCAACTTTCCATTAGCCTGAGAAGCATAAATCCTGGGCACAAACCAAAACCCAGAAATAATCTAGCCCAGTGAACTCTGCATTCCATCCTAGGTGGAAGCCCTGTGTATTAAACAGATGCGAGTTGAGCTGCTTTGGCTGAAACCTGCTTGGAGCTCCATCTAGTCGCAGCACAGGGATGACCGACAGCCACCGATCCCACCTCCTCACCAGCTTCCACCACCACCACACTGTCTCCTGCTCCCGAAGAAGGTCTATAAAAACCCTCCTGGTTTCATTTGTTCCCCTACTGCTGGAGTGGACTATGTTAACCATATACAGAATGCGTCTCTGGAAACAAGACTAACATGCATAAAACTGGTCTACTTCTGACACATATTTGTAACAGCCAATATTAAACAAATTCCCTAGAATATCTTTCCCTGAGTCATAACCATCTTCACAGCCTTTAAATTCTTCATATAGATTGTTTCCTGCTGCCACTTAAGCCCCCTTTCTCTTTTGATACTAATCTCAGCGATTTGTTTTCCTTTGTTGTTGGATTTTTTTATTTTTAAGTAATCTCTACACCCAACGTGGGCCTTGAATTTACAACCCTGAGATTAAAAGTCACATGGTCCACCAACTGAGCCAGCCAGGCACCCCTTGTTTTTTTTAAGGATTTTTTTTTTTTTTTAACTTGTTCCTTTTTCTCCATGGGCTAAAAGACTTTCTGGTTTACTTCTTATGCAGCAGCCTGCCTTACAGTTAACCTGGACCTACACAGTGTGTCAGTTCTCAAATTTGAAGTCTACACAGATGCTAAGTTCAGGGGCCATTCTCTAATCCTCAGGGAGCAGGTGGACTAACCTTCTCATTCATAGCCAGGATCATCATGAGCTTTCTGAAGAGAGTAATGAAATCTAAGAAGAGGTCAACGCAGTGCCTGAAACAGAAGAACCAGATGACCAACTGGCATGTCCCACCTTCCTTTATCCACAGCCCACAGAGGGGCAGAGCACAAAAACCCCACGCCCACCCCATGAGTGAGTTTCACCAACACTCCACCACCAAGTGTAACTCTGATGTCCGAGATCCTTTCCAAATCAACAAAGCCATGCAGCACAGGGAGAAGAAAAACTGAGCTTTAGATTCTGCAGGGCCCACATGTGAACCCCAGACTACCATTAACTAGTTAAGAGACTCTGAAATTACTGCATTTTTTCAAAAGTTATACATTAAAAAGAATGTGTATCTTCATTATTAAAGGTTTAATATAAAAATAAAGAGTAAAAGGGGAAAGATTCCTTTCTCCCTCTATGCCTAGAGATAACCACTATTAAAAGTAAGGATAATTAAATGCATATTAGTAGTTCAACTTTAAAAAGAGCTGATGTCTTCCAGGAATCGAGGGAGCCTGCTATTTGGTGCACAGCTCCAAAACCACAGGCATCCTACCATATACGCCCCCGAAAGCGGGCCAGGAAGTTCAGCCAGTGCCACCTAGACCACTCTTACCCCTCCCGACGGCCACAGAAAGGGAGGCGTTCAAGACCAGTTTTCACTCACCAGATATAATCCTTATCTCCATTTTCAGCCTTCTCAATAATGAGTTGAGTATCAAAGAGGACAAAGCCACACATGACCACCAGCCCCACATACAGGTTTGCCTAACAGGAGAAGATGAGATAAGGTTACCATGTGGGAGACGCCAGAGGGGAAAAGCCAGCTGTGCCTCTTTTTGGCTCTTGGCTGTTTGAAATTAAACAAATGCTAACCCTACAAGCAGGAATGTTCTCGGGAACGGAAGCCTACGGTAAAGACCACATGACTTCCCTAAGCACAACTCTGCACTGCCCGAGAGTGAGCATTCTGGAGGATTCTTAGTCTACATTGCTTTAGGGTGAAGCAAATACAAGAAGTACAAGGCAAATGGCTGCTAGAAAGTGACATGCAAAGTCTCACCTGGAAAAGCCAAATGGATCCAAAGAAAAGATTCCCCAGGGAAGACAAGAGCATCAGGCTCATGGCTGACATCAAGACACCTGTAAGAGATGACAAAAAGCCATCTTGAGAAAAGCCAAAATGAAGTAAGACAACCCCATTAAAGCCATCCTTACTTACCCCCCACCCCCAAATTAAGGCTTTCAATTGCAACCCAACAATCACAAGAAGTCAGAAGGTAGGGAAAGAGTCCCAGTGTGAATTCTGGCTAAATTGAGACTCTCTGTTTTCCAGTCCACACTTACCTCCAAGAAAGAGGTAGCTCCGGCGCCTGGCATACAGGGCGCTCAGGGTGAAGCAGGTGAAGATCATTGCTGTCCCCATGAAGGCAGTGGGAAGAATGCTGTTAGAGGAAAAGACCATTAGACTGAGGGCTACAGGTCTGCAAACCTATACTTAGGAGGCATATCTGCAATGATAAAAAGACCTAAGATGCTATTAAAATAGTTACCTGGGGTTGATGGCAATGCACAGCTCCAGAGCAGGACCTAGGCCAACTCCTAGAAAACAAAAAGCCCCCGAACATGGTATTACCATCAATTCCTAAAGAGGACCCTTGTCCAAAGCTGACCATCAAAAGCACAGGCAGGCCCATGCTCCTAAAAAACCAAAACACGTGTACTAAAATAATTAAATCTCTCTCCTCTATGTGCCTTAACTGTTTACTTGACTGTTATTTATTTATAGACAGAGCTACAAAACTGTTCTCTTAGATGAAAATCATGGATGGCCCAGGATGAAAACACATTAGAAAAAGGAAGCAGGGGCGCTAGGGTGGCTCAGTCGTTAAGCGTCTGCCTTTGGCTCAGGTCATGATCCCAGGGTCCTGGGATCCAGCCCCGCGTCGGGCTCCCTGCTCGGCGGGAAGCCTGCTTCTCCCTCTCCCACCCCCTCTGGTGTTCCCTCTCTCGCTGTGTCTCTCTCTGTCAAATAAATAAATAAAATCTTTAAAAAAAAAAAAAAAGGGAAGCAGGCATGTCAGACATTTTTTGAGCAAAGCTGTAAGGCTGCAATACTCGGAAGAGGAGTGATGTGAGACTATGATGTGGGCCAGATCAGGAACTGGAGTAGGAACACCAAGAGCAAACCAGTGCCTTGTGGCCAGCAACCTGTAGTCACACAGGACTGACTTCCTTTGTAAAAAGGCCAGACCGGTTCTGGGGGTGGACACTTGCCAAGAGGAGGATGCAGTGGCAACCTGTTCCAGCCCCAACATTTCCCCCACTCTTGCTACTCTCTCTCCCCTTCTGGTAATTCTACCCCTTACTGCCTTCAAAAACTAGCTTTCCCTATTTTAAAATCTTAATCTCTAAATCCCTTCCTTTCTACAACAACACTACATAGATTAGACACACTCTAAACAAGTTGTACTGGACGCCTGGGTGTCAGTCGTGAAGCGTCTTGCCTTTGGCTCAGGTCGTGGTCCCAGGGTCCTGGGATCAAGCCCCACATCGGACTCCCTGCTCAGCGGGAAGCCTGCTTCTCCCTCTCCCACTCCCCCTGCTTGTGTTCCTGCTCTCGCTGTGTCTCTGTCAAATAAATAAATAAAATCTTAAAAAAAAAAAAATTTGTACTAAGTCAAATGCTGCTTTGCAAGTATTTTTACTATGTAGCTTGAGTCCTGTTTCCCTTAATGATAATTCTAGAAGAGCTGTGCTTTTCTTTCTTTTTTTTTAAAGATTTTATTTATTTATTTGAGAGAGAGAGAGAATGAGAGATAGAGAGCATGAGAGGGAAGAGGGTCAGAGGGAGAAGCAGACTCCCCTCTGAGCAGGGAGCCCTATGAGGGACTCGATCCCGGGACTCCAGGATCATGACCTGAGCCAAAGGCAGTCGCTTAACCAACTGAGCCACCCAGGTGCCCTGTGCTTTTCTTTCTTTCTTGAGAATCAGCAAAGCACTCTGTTGGATGGATTTCAATGTATGGCTTTAATTAACTGTCCGCAAAGTTCAGAATAAATGGTCACAGGAGTGATAGCTGCCAGTGTGAGTCCAACTAAATTAGAGTTTCAGGCCAAGTTTAGTCCCACGTCAACCATTAACAAGTTATGCTACCTAAGCTCTTGGACCTCATTCATTCAAGCAACAAATGCTTATTTTTGGATTTAAAAGTAGAAGTCACAGTCACTGAAGAGCTAATCCTCTGGATGGGAAAGCAAGATGCACCTCTATGAAATAAAAAAGCAATACAAGGCAAAATATACTCAAATACAAGACTGAATGGTACACTGTGCCAGTTGGGATGAATCAGAATACATACAAACCTGGGGCCTTAGTCTACAGAGATACTAGATACAGTACCCCCAGTATCCCTTCTCCCATCCCAAATTAGCCTAGTTCCTAACATACCTGTAAGGAAAGCAAATCCAGCAAGAAGTCCCAGTCTTTTTTGCTCAGTTTCATGGCTATGAGGTGTTGTCATCAGCCAAATCATCAACCCCAGGGAGCCCAAGGCAGAGAGCAGGCCAGCCTGTCAGATCCAGAGTCAATAATGAAATACTTGAAAAGAGCAAATTTATTCCGCAGACCTTACTGGGATCAAATATTCATCTGAACTTCCTAATATTTCCTTCTAACCTGGAGGCAGTGGAAAGGCAGAGGGAACTAAGGAGAAACTAGAAGTCGTGTAGGACAGGGCTAGGACCATGGTGGATGCTAGAGGCTCTTCTGACGCAGGTAGTCCATCAGCTACAAGTACCCAAGTCAAACTATGAGTCTTGCCCAAGAAAAAGATGAATCAGAGTGACAAGTGCTTGAAGCACATTCCAATCTGTAGGACAAGTAAAAATGATCCCTTTTTGATCACTTTAAAACACACACACAAATATATATACCCATACATTGAAAAAAGACTGAGAGGGTGCTACAGATTTAATGTTTATGCTCCCCCCAAACTCATGTTTAAACTTTAACCCCCAATGTGCTATTTCGAGGTTGGGGGGTGTCTTGGAAGGTGATTAGGTCATGAGGGTAGAGCCTTCATTAGTGCCCTTACAACAGAGATCCCAGAGAGCTCCCTTGCTCCTTCTATCATGTGAAGACAGAGCGAGAAGACAGTCTTTACACAGGAAGCAGGCCCTCACCACACAACATATCTGCTGGTGCCATGATCTTGAACATCCAGCCTCCCAAACTGTGAGAAACATTTGCTGTTTAAGCTACTCAGTCTTTGGTTTTCTGTTAGAGCAGCCTGAATGGACCGAGACAGAGTAAGAATCAAAATGTTATGTCTGGGTGTTTTTATTTCTTTCTCATCACTAGTCAGTTTTCCAAATTCTCTAAAATGAAAGTGCATTAGTTTTGTAAGAAGAAAAATATTCTTTAAAAAAAAAAAGCAAGTGGGAAAAGCTGCAGGCAATTAGAAAAAGAAGAAAATCATCAAGGAGGTATGTAGACAGTGAAGTTCCTTCCTTCCTTTAAAGGTATAGCTGATCCTCGTTTTTCTCATAGTTATGTTCTATAAAGTCACTGTGAATAATGAATTAATGAATACTGAACAACTGCTCCTGAGAAAAATAAAGGGTTAAATTCTCACGCACCTCTGGTTACATTTTCTTCAACCGAAAAATACATGTTTTACATGTGTTTATGTTTAAGGACACTATTTGATATATATTGTTGGTTCATTAACCTAGAACTCATGGCCAACACACTCTAACTCAAGCCTGAACACAGCTTACCTAACAGACATATTTTCTCCATAAGACACATCACAGTCTTAGTGTACTTTTTTTTTGCACTTTCGAACAGTAGACTGCACTCTAGCACTATGCCTGGGGTCCATTTTAAATACCGACATCACCACCAAAATCACAAAAATGCAAAAAATGTAGCACTACACAGACCATGAAAAAGACCCTTGTTTATAGTACAAGAGCTTGAAGCAGGGCAGTGTGGTGCCTTGTTCAACCTCAGCTGGAACACAGTGCCATGCGCAACTCAAAGTTTTTGCCGTTCTGCTTAGGACTGCGAATATCTGCAAAATGCACCATGAGTACTGATTTCAGGGTTACAAATACATTTTAGCACGTAGGCAATTCATAAATATAGAATCCACGAATAATGAGGATAACTGCATTTTACTACATTGCTTAAAAAACAAAACAAAAACAAAAACACAACCAGAAACCAAAATGGCCACTCTTGCCTAGAAGGTGGAGTATGTTTTAGTCTCAACTCCAGGGATCAAAGTTTTATCCTCTGAGAATCTTGAGTAATTTTTCACACAACCTCTGCCAGGAGATGCCTGAGCATAGGGACAGTTCTCAGTAGATGCAAATGCCAACAGAGACACACTCCTGGTACTTACACTGAAAAGGACACTTGGAGAGCAAGTCTTGGTTAGTGAGAACTTCAAACTTTTTGATTATTTGTCCACTGTTCCTTTTATTCCTACTGGCCAAACCCAAGGTCTCTTTCAACAGAGGAAAGTGTTACATCGCAACCATGCAGATGTAAGTGCATCCGCGAACAAAAGAGATCAAATCTTTGAAGGTCTCAACCCTGCCTCTCCTGATTATCATACAATCAGTGTTCTATATCTAAGAACCCCACAGTCACAAGCAAAAAAGAGAAAGAAGGCAGGAAAAGATAAAAAGGCTACTGTGCAAACCCAGCACACACTCCATGCCATGACCCAGCGGGCTGGGGTCTTACACCATTCAGTGTCCAGGTTAAGACATTCTGTTTTCAGTACCTAGAGAGGACCCAGCTGCCAGAAAATTTAAATAAGGCTCTGCATGTCCTTAGTTACCAGCCAGCTCTGGCTGAGTTCAGATTGCAAACTACAGAAAAGGATTAAGGAGGGTACAAGCTGGCACCACCCTGCTGAGCTGGTTTCTACCTACTGAATTTGTGCCACAGCAACTAGGAGAGAAAGTGCTCTTACCTGAAGGAAATGAGTGACGACATGGACATAGGCCCCCATGGCCGCCACAAACATACAGAGGGCAAAACTGGCATAGACCTTCTTCAGGTGCTGCTGTGTCGAGGGGGTTCTGGGAAAGAACGTTAGTAACAGCCATTATTCTAGGACCAATTTCATTTCTAAGCTAATAATCATTTCCCTCTCTTCTTCTCAGGGAATATGTGTTAAGTTATAAAAAAATACATATTTTGAAAATAGATGAATGGAGAATCTTAAATACTGGGGAGGAGCCAAAGGTCCCACATTATGAACAATCAGTACCCAAACTAGAATAACTAAATGGTTTTTCAGTGACTACAGAGCAGACCCTAGAATCTGGGTGCTTTTAGCAGATCCTCTGGATTCTAGCAAAGTTAATATGCCAATTAATACATACAAAAGTTAATAAACTAGGAAAAGTAAGATATGAAAGGAAATGCAATAAGAAACTACAGTCAAGATCAAAACACTTACATGTGGGAAAATTTTAAGAGTGCATCAAAGTTGATCTTCCGATCAAATATGTTCATGATGCCAGAGTCTGTGGGACACAGCCTCCGCTCTGTAGAATCAAGGATAAAAAGAAGAAAAGGTTATTTTACAGATATAAAGACATACAAAATAACATAAACAACTTTCTCATAAAAATAGCAACATACAAGTTTGGAAAAATGAAAGTTATCTAAAATCCCACTGTCCTAGCACAGCCATTTTCATTTCTATGCATCTCCTTCTAGGATACATTTGCAATCATACTCAACCATTTTAAAGGACACAGAGGAAATGAAACCATCTTCTTCTCCCTATTTTGTTACTAGCATTTGATTTCTATTCTTTCAGAAAGTAATTTGTCCTTTTGATAGTTTCTTTGAGGGCGCCTGGGTGGCTCAGTCGTTAAGCGTCTGCCTTCGACTCAGGTCATGATCCCAGGGTCCTGAGATCGAGTCCCACATCAGGCTCCCTGCTCCGCGGGAAGCCTGCTTCTCCCTCTCCCACTGCCCCTGCTTGTGTCCCCTCTCTTGCTGTGTCTCGCTGTCAAATAAATAAATAAAATCTTTAAAAAAAGACAATTGGTAAGTTTCTTTAAGAAATTACCAGTTAGCAATTAAAGGGATCCAGTCACTGAACATAAAGCGATATTTATTGTTATTTTATTTTTTTTGGGGGGGGGGACGGGCAGAGGAAGAGGGAGAGTCTTAAGCAGGCTCCACACTGGGCCTCCACCCTGAGATCATGACCTGAGTCAAAATTAATACTGGAACACTTAAGCAGCCCTGCAACATAAAGCAATATGTCACTGTATCAAGATGCTAGAGAATTCTCTCAACAAAAGCACAGAACCTCAAAGAGGGAGGGAGGGATGGAGGGAAGAAGGAAGGAGCTGGGCCTGGTACTAAGTCTTGAATTTTATTTATTTTTATTATTTTTAAAGATTTTATTTATTTGACAGAAAGAGAGAACAAGCAGAGGGAACAGCAGAGGGAGAGGGACAAGCAGGCTCCCCGCCGAGCAAAGAGCACGACGTGGGGCTCAATCCCAGGACCCTGAGATCACGACCTGAACCCAAGGTAGACGCTTAACTGACTGAGCCACCCAAGCCACCCAGGTGCCCCAGGTCTTGAGTTTTAAATATACACATGTAGAAACTTTCCATCCAATGCATGTTAAAACTGAACTGAAAGGGATTTACAATTTTAAAAAGAGAAAAGTTCCTCCATGAAAAAGGAATTTGTGCAGATTTTTTTTACATAATTTCAGAAATTTTCCTACAGAAGAGATGGAATAGTACAAAGAATTCCTATAAACCCTTTACCCAAATTTCCTATTAATATTTCACCATATCTGCTTTATCCCCTCTCTATATAGCAGTATATACAGACTTTAAAATATTTGTTTCCCAACCATGAAGGCACAAAAATGTTTTTTTCCCAACCATGCAGGCACCCCTAAATACTTGTGTGTACATGTGAAAATAATCAAAACCAGGAAATTAACACTGACACAATACTATTATCTGATCTACAGACCTTATTCAGATCTTGCTAACTGTCCCAATTATGTCACAGAAAGGACATTTTTAATTGAACTGTACCCAGGTTATATGCCATCAATACCATCAAGTTTGGCTCTTAAATTTTGTTCCCTCCTCTATTTCACATGCAATCCTAAATAAACACATTCAATCTACAGGGCTTAAAAAAAATCTAATCAAGAATTTTCATCTTTCCTAAATACCCATCTTCCACAATCATCCAGATTCTTATTAGACCCATAATGCCTATTCATTTCACACTGACCAAAAATGGGAATGGGGTGGTGTTAAAACACAAAACTAAGTAGTCTGACAGACAAGTCAACTAGTCACACCTATTCTAATGAGCACCTAGCCCAATACTCAGCAAAATCAGTCTGGGCAATAGAAGTTACAATCCCAAACGGACTCCTGAGAAATCCTGGGCCAGTGGAAAGATGCCATTCTTCTAGTTCACATGCATCATTACCATTTGTTTCCTGAGGCTCACTCTCTCACAAGTGCAACAATTACAATGGCTAGCTTGCTCTCTCTTGATCTCCTCTTTCCTTTCTCACCAACATCCTACTCACCTCAATTTTTTTGTTAGTTCTGTTCTTAAGGATGGATACAGTGAGAAGCTGAAGAACCTACTAAAGCTACTGCTCACAGCTCTAAGTCCCAGGGCTCTGGGCCCTCTTGATCTAGATGGTGCAATTATTGCAGGCTGTTGCAAGACCGACCACAGCCTTTCATAACCATGATGAACTCACATCCTCTAGAGAGCACACTTAGAGGACGGCAGAATCCAGCACCTGGAAAGTGTCTTTGTTTAAGTCTTCCATTAACACCCTTAATGACATCCCCAGATAGAACCTGCAATCGTTCTGAAGCAACCTTCAGAGCCAAGTTTCTCAGGATTCACAACAACACTGAAGCACCTCTTGCTTCCAAGGCTTCCAATTTCAAGAGTTAAAAAAAGGAAGGGAGGGGGTGGTGAATGGGCATCGCAGTGTAAATCCTCAAATACCCAGGCAACTGTTAGTCAGAAAGGGGCAACACCCTGTAACCAGACCCCACTAAGTGAAACAGTGGGAGGGGATAATGGCAGAAACTCCTCTTTCCCAGTTTGCTCTGTGACATTCCCCGGGGGCTGCTGACTGCCTCTTACAACTGCAGATGGAAAAACCAAAATTATCAAAGTTGTGAGGACAGGGAGAGAGTATTTCTCAATGATTTAGTAGTGCTTTGTGGTTTAAAATAAGTAAAAAATAAATTAAATAAAACCAGTTTTCTAATGCTAGTACTTATTCTAAAATTTAAGTGAGATATATAAGTACCAAATTTTCTAGATACAAAGGCACACAGCAGTTTTTATGAGAGAGAGCAAGAGAGTGTGCACATACACACACACAAGTGTGTTGGGGGGGGTCCCAGAGGCAGAGAGAATCTTAAGCAGGCTCCAAGCTCAGTGTGGAGCCTGATGCAGGAATCAATCCCATGACCCTGAGATCATGACCTAAGCCCAAATCAGGAGTCTGACGCTTAACTGACTGAGCCACCCAGGCGCCCCAAGGCACACAGCAATTTTAATAATAGCTTTGTAGGGAAAAAACACAATGAAGTATACATTTAATAAATAACATGATATGTATAGGACATAATTTATTTCAGAACTGTTAAAACGTAAGAAGGAAAAAGTTAGGTCTTAGAATCAAGGAAATATGATAGTTTGCTCTAGGTCTGTTCCAAACAGACAAGAACGAATGCACAGATAAGTAAAGAGTCAAAACGATTCTTACAAGTTTTGCCAGAGGGATTAAGCTAAACAAGTTTCTAACTTACCCTCAACTACTTGTACTCAGAAGCTGCAGAGAAAACATATCTACATTTCAAAGTCTATATGCAAACGCAGCTGAACAAGATTCAATTGCATTCATAACTCAAAAATAGCAGCTCCCAGGGAGCCTGGGTGGCTCAGTCAGTTGGGCGTCCAATTCATGATTATGGTTCAGGTCATGATCTCAGCGTCCTGATATGGAGTCCAGGTCCGGCTCTGAGCTCAGCAGGGAGTCTGCTTAAGAGTCTCTCCCTCTGTCCCTCCCCCCCAACTCACGTACTCTCTCTCAAATACATAAATCTTTAAAAAATAGCAGCTCCCATACCAAAAGTATTTTCAGTCCCAGGGAACAATTAGCTCCTAACAGAGCTTGAAGTATTCAAAATCATTAACCAAGTAACTCAGCTAACATTTCAAAAGGGCCCCACAGTTAAATGAAAATCTTTGTTTTAAAAGACAAGACATTAGGGACGCCTGGGTGGCTCAGTCGGTTGGGAGTCTGCCTTCGGCCTGGGTCATGATCCCAGGGTCCTGGGATGGAGTCCCACGTCGGGTTCCTTGCTCCTTGGGGAGCCTGCTTCTCCCTCTGCCTGCCACTCCCCCTGCTTGGGCTCGCTCTCTCTGGCAAGTGAATAAAATCTTTTTTTAAAAAAAAAAGGACATTAAAATGACAAGTTTTATGCTATGTATATTTTACCACAATAAAGGGAAAAAGTATATTACAAGTTGCTCAAGAATTATTTAATACAGTAGTTCCCCTAACACACATCAGTCCATTATGAAATCCATACCAGCACCGGTCTGTATCAAACTAGACACCAACTCATACAAAAATCTAGAAATTGCATCCTCTCTCCCACCCCACCCCCCAGTTCTAAATGTAAAACAGGGAAGTGGGATTATTTATTTAGAATACAATGTAGACAGCGCCTCCTAGACTCATGAGAAATTTGTCTGCACCGCATTAAGTAAATGTTCAGACGTTAATCATAATCAAATTCCTTTAATTTGGTTCAGAGCTTCACTTAATGCCTTCATCCTTAGAGGAGAGCAGGAATACCAAACTTGACAGATATTCTCATCAACTAACATCTATGTCTTAGGTCTTGTTAAATCTCTTGTTTTGTTCTAGGTATCTTCCTTACCCTTGCCCTAAAATAATTATCATCAGGGGCCAAGATGTGAAAACAACAACAAAAAAAATTCTCTACATTCTTATTTCAATACCTACTAAGTACAGTCCATATGAAACACAGCCAAGTGGCCAAAAGCTATGCAAAACAGAAACAATCACAAATTTTTTTAAAAATCCTTGCCTTTGAAAGATAAAAGCCTGCTGACTACTGGGCAGAAGGCTGCCTTAATATTTACAATTTAACAACAAAACCAGCAATTCAGGAGCACCTGGGTGGTTCAGTTGGTACAGCATCCAACTCTTGATCTCAGGGTCATGAGTTCAAGCCCCACATTGGGTGTGGAGCCTGCCTAAAATAAGTATTTTTAAAAATAGAGCAAGTCAAAGAAACATTATTCACACATTTAATTAAACATTTAGTAGTGAATTATATGGTTCCTCATTCTTGTTGTAATTCAACCATTCTGAGTCCCCTTCCCACATATCCAGAAGGAACCAACTGATACTTGAGAGAAGAAAAACCCCATGTGGTTAAAAAATTGGAGGGGGGCGGGTAGCAGAATTGCATTTTTTTAGTAGTTCTTCCTATTGAATAGCTTTCAGACTCTGTATAACCATGTATCTAGAATAGTGGTTAAGAGCTTGGCTTGTTGCACCTGAATCCTGATATTGCCTTAGCTATGTAACACACAGCAAGTTTCTGGCACTTGAACCTCACTGTGCTTTAGTTTCCTCATTTGTATATAGTAATATATAATAATATCTACTTCATAGGGTTGAGGATTATGTGAGATAATACAAACAAAGTGGTTAGAATAGTGCCTCATACAGGAACGCCTGGGTGGCTCAGCTAGTTAAGCATCTGACTCTTGATTTGGGCTCAGGTCATGATCTCAGGGTCATGGGATTGAGCCCCGTGTCAGGCTCTGTGCCAGGTGTGGAACCTGCTTAAGATTTTCTCTCTCCCTCTGCCTCTGCCCCTCTTCCCCCCACCTATTCTCTCATGCATGCGTGCTGCTCTCTCTCCAAAAAAAAGAATAGTGCTTCATACATAAGACTGGCTCCATATGTTAGCCATCGTTTTTACCAGTGTAAATACTCATTACTCTCATGTCTTAAGTGCATTATTTTCCCCTAGTTTTATAAAACATTTACTGCAGATCTAATCTACATATGCCCTGTAAATTCATTCTAAATTCAACCACAGTTAACTGTATCCTGAAGACTTAATATTTACCCATATGAACAAAATTAAATTGGGGGAAGAGGGAAGAGTCTAAGAAAATTATAAACTGGAATTTAAAGGAATTTGATAAATCTTATTACCGGCTAAAATTACTTTTGTGCAAATGGCAGGCCTCTCCTTGGGCGCATTTACACTGTACCTCCTGTCCCACAGGGCCACAAGGCGTTTTGAGACAGCCTAATAACCACTAAGTGATAATCCGATGTGGTAGAGAATTTGATGAAGTAAATGGTCATTAGCTTGATGCCTTCTTTGTCATCCCTAGAAGGTAGGTCAGTTTGGTTTCAGGAAGTTCCAAAGAACTGTTTGACAGGCCTGGGCTCTGGTGGTCCTAGATTTGAACCCTAGATGTCCCAGCCCCTCCCTTAACTTGGGCCCAAATTCCTGGCTAGTGAGATTAGCTAGCTAACACCGGATCCGGTCTCTCTAGGGTGTTGCTTCAGAACCAAGCTAGTAACTGGAGATGGAATGCCTACTGCCTTCAATAAATGATTTTTTGAACTTTCACACTACTGAACCTCTCTCTGTAACCACAAGTGTTTGACAGACTGAATCATAAAGAGGCCCCAATGTCCTAAATACATACTCAGTTTCCAGTGTAAACCAGTAATCCCTTCCCAATAACAACATATTTAGCCCAAATGAAAGCAGGCATAAATGAGGACAAACTTTTTAAGTGTTTTGGATTCCAGTTAATTGTGTTGGAACTTCTCGCATAGATGGCTGTAAGCACCGTGAGAGCAGAGCAGAGCTTGCATGTGATTCAGCTTTCTGTTCCCCCATATTTACATACAACCAGGAGTCCCCAGAGCAAATGCAGACCCCATTATCTCATCAGGAGTGTTGCAACCTCAAATCAACACTCCCCAGGTGGTTCAAAGGGGAAGCTACCCTGAGGAGTAACTCAGTGGCCCAAAAAGCCAATCTCTAGTTTTCTTCTCCTTGGTTTGAACACTGTCTTTGGAAAACAAAAATGTGTTTAATACAAAAGCTACTTCGTGAAGCTTGGTTAGAAACTTGGGGGCGGGGCGGGGGCGGGCGGGATGCCTGGGTGGCCCAGTCTGTTAAGTGTCTGCCTTCGGCTCAGGTCATGATCTCAGGGTCCTGGGATCGAGTCCCACATTAGGCTCCCTGCTCAGCGGGGAGTCTGTTTCCTCCCTCTCCCTCTGTGTGTGCGTGCTTTCGCGCTATCTCAAATAAATAAATCTTAAAAAAAAAAGAAGAAAAAAAACTCTGGGGGAACAAAACAGGGTAAAGTGGGGGACACTTCTAACAGCTTCTACAGTCAAGTCAAAGTGGCAAAGGAAAATTTAGCAGACAGAACATCAAGAGAATATTCAGTATTTTCCCAAAGGAGATAAATACCCTTGGGTAGTTTATGAAATAAAGGAAATTAATACCCTTGGGTAGTTTATGAAATAAAATGAAACTTCAGGCCAGCAGTAGTACCTTCACTTTACAACTTTAAAGTGCTTTTATATACATTATCTCCTTTGATCTTCACACCAATCCATAAATAAAGGGCAAAAATGATTAATCTCACTTTAAAAAGAAAGCTCAAAAAGGCAGCGTTAATAGTGGCAGGAGCACTGGCTTTGGAGTCACAAATCCTGCCATTTTCTACCATGTAACTTTGGGAAAATCATTTTACCTAAGGTCATCTAGGCTTCCTTATCTGTAAGATAAGGATGATTAAATAACACCTGTTCTACCAAGCTGACTGAATGCCGGCAAAAAAAATCTGTGGGAGACAGATAAAAAGTACAGCACAGGGGAATGGAGTCAGTGACACTGTAATAGTGCTGTATGGTGAGATGGCAGCTACACTAATGGTGAGCATAATCTATACACTTGAATCACTATGTTGTACACCTGAAGTAATGGAACATTGTGTGTCAACTACACTTCAATTAAAAAAAAAGAGGAGGAAGAAAATGAAAAGCTGTGTGAAATCATTGTAAAGTGCTAAAACGACATTAGTATTGACCTGACCAACACCACGAAGTTAAATAGTAGAGCCAGAACCAGATTAGGGGCCTTATGACCTTTAATGCCTGGTGCTCTTCCTACTATTACAGCCTACAGTAGAAAAGCAAGGTTTTGGGTTTTTTTTTTTAAAGATTTTATTTATTTATTTGAGAGAGAGAATGAGAGAGCACATGAGAGGGGGGAGGGTCAGAGGGAGAAGTAGACTCCCTGCTAAGCAGGGAGACCGATGCGGGACTCGATCCCGCGACTCCAGGATCATGACCTGAGCCGAAGGCAGTTGCTTAACCAACTGAGCCACCCAGCGCCGGAAAAGCAAGTTTTCATTAAGACAGTTCCAGCCATAGGCCAAGAGAAACTTAAAAAAGTATTAACACATGCTGATTCCTATTACACTTCTCTGTATTTTTCAGCACTTCTACAATAAGCATGAACTATATGAATAACCAGGAAAAAAATTAAAATGCTAACTAAATATCTGGATTAATTTTACCTTTCCTATTCTTAGGAGAGTAAGACTTCAGTCACTTCAACAGTGGGGAAGGGAGAGACGGGAAGAAAGAGGGTTCACTAAGCCATGTTTCCACAAGATGAATAATGGAAGAAGGAAACTCTAAATACAAATTACAGAGAGTGTTTCTCAAGGATTTAACCCCTCTGTCCCTTTTGGAAGAAAATGGTAGAAAATCTAAGTATTAACATATTCTTGAAGCCAGAACAAAAAATATTAGACAAGAGAAATAAGCCACCAAAGAGAGTAAACCTAATAATTACAGAAATAAGTGTATTTGTAGAAGCCATAATAACTTGGTTATACAACGTGAATAATCTCTCTTGAACTGAATTCTTAAACTACACATTCAACCAAAAGATAAACTAAAACTAAGTATTAATAAATAACTAGAAAAGTCTATTCGCCATTAACTTTTAACCTTAAAATCTTGTGTTTCAGGCACAGTCAGCTCTTCTACTGAGTTACACATTCACAAGTTAACTATTGCTAGAACAGTCTCAAGTTCAGAGAGGTTTTGTTACTGTTGTTTGGTCAAGGAAAGTCTGGTGGGGTAGGCAATGCAGTCTGGGCTGTTACTGAATAACAATTCCGCACTTAATAGTTATACAAAAATACCAAAGCCTACTTACTATCATAGCTCCAGCAAGTAGGTCCAAGAAAAAAACAACCGCCCAGCGACGCCTTTCCTGCGCGGACTTCGAGAAAGACGCCCACAAGGCTCAGGACCAAGCAAAGCCAAGGCCACCTCACCTGTCCAAAGGTAATCAATCAGACCAGAACGGCGCTGGAAAACCAGGAAGGATCTTCTCACCTCCCGCCTCTGCTTTCGGCTTCAAGTAACTAAGGAGGTTCGCGTGTCACAGAGGAGTGTGACATCACCCGCCTGGCCGTGACAGGGCAGGCAGCCTGCCTGACCAGGCCCTTTGTCGAGTCCTGGCCCTCGCGGCTCACCCAGAAGGGGCCCAGCCAGAGGGCCCACAGCAGAGAAACAATCAGTCGGGTGAAGCAGGGGTGATCTCAAACCCGTGAGGTTTCGCTTTCATTAGCCTCGGAAGGAAGGGGTGGGGGACGTGGCCTGACTTTAAGTAGTCAAGGCTGTGCGAAAGGGCCCCTGCGCCTACTCTTGGCGGGGTGAAAAAGAGAAGGAACGCAGAGTGGGAAGAAGAAGAAAGAGGAACTAAAAAGGACCCTTCACTAGCACTCGCGCGCAGAACGGGAGCCTCGACGTCCCCCAAAACGCAGCAGACGCGCCCCAGCCCCTCCCCCGCTCCGGTACGGTTGCGCATGCGTGGTACTAGTTCCCGAGCTTCTCCCCTCCCCGCGCAGCTTTCCGAGTCCCGTCGCAGAGTAGGACCCCATTCCCCGAAAGTGCAGTCTGTCCGAAAACCGAGACTATTCCCACTCTTGCTCAAACAATAATTGCCAACCCCATTTCCATTTCTCACTCTCAGTTTACAGTCCCGGCTTCAGACGTACCTTCTTACCAGCCTCCAGGAGCCTACGCAGCTCTTCTAACACCGGATGTGTTTCTGACTCTCCCAGGGTCCGCTCCAGAATTTTTACCCTAAGCGTCTGCCCCTCGAGGGAAGCTCCGCCCCTGCGGTCCGCTTAAAGCCAGTCCTCATTGGCTCCTGGCCGGACCTCTGCCTTCCCATTGGCTTTACGTGCGTAAACAACGGCTGCTTACTTCAGAGCCATTCGTTAATGCCCTTGTCGATCAAGACTCTGGCCGCCAACCGGCGTCGTAGAAAAGGTCTCCGCCTCTTCCTCCATAGTGAGGTAGGACCGCGGTCTAAAGTCGCCCCTAGTGGAGAAAGTGAAGAGGGACAGACCCCACCCAAGATACCTGGCATGTCACCGAGCCCCGCGATGCGTGATGGGATAGCGCAGCAAAGTCCCGGGATTCTGGTTTTAGGCTTCCCATGGAATGTTAAAGGGAGAAAGAGATTCAGATAACACGTAAAAAAGGGCTCTCACAGGGGGCAATCTACCTTGAATCGATTGGGGCTTAGGCTTCCGAGCACTTTTGAAGGATCAGCGAATTGTCCAGGAATTCGAGGAGGACATAGCAGCCCCAGTCCTGCAGCCGAAGCACCGACGCGCTCTAGCCCAAGTGGTGGTCCTGGGCCAGCGTGCGAGGCTGGCGGGCTTCCAGGATCACCTTGCCTGCTTGGTGGAGATAGGCGACAACTTCATAGTCACTTCTGCCTGTGGAGTGGGGTGGATGGGAGAGGGAACGAGGGCGGCGACCTGGCAGAGCTGCCCAGGCAGCCCCGAAAGAAACGAAATCAAGGGAAATCAAAGGGCTGGAGCTTCCCATGAGCTTGTCCGGGGCAAGAAGCCCCACCTGTGCGAGAACTTAGAGTAAGGAGTTGTGAAGCCGATAAAAAAAAAAAAAAGTTCCTATACTATCAATGTTTTAAATTACTTTTTTACTAATTTATCTAGATCTCTATAAAAATAGTACAAAATTGACATATGAAGAGGCGAAGAGTATGCAGACAAAAAATGTAGAAAAAAAGAGCTTATAGTGGTTGCCAGGTAGTTAAAAATGTTTTTTTGTTTCGTTTTGTTTGTTCTGGATCGTGTGATGGTTTTCGTTTTGTCAGCATTTTAAAATAGGCAGTGATTTCTTTTTCTCATTCTAAATAAATATTGACTATTATATAATTTTATATTCTATTTCTTAAATACAGCCCCACAATTATATGTTTTTTACACTGCAAAGAATATAGATTCACCCCTGCCTCTCATTTTATAGATGAGGAAACAGGCCCCTGACAGAAAAGGTTCTTGCAAAGTAAGGGAAGAAACGTCGATTAAGCATTGGATGAGTGGAGATGAGATCAGAATCTGTCCTTCTAGAAGGATAGAACAGTTATCCTTTCAGTAAAGAATACAAATGTGCAGGGTGTGATTCTCAGTACCCAAACTCAGGTATGCAATAAATATAATTTTACTTTCTACAGTACAACCTAATATTTACTCTGAAACTCATTCCATCAGAGTGGGTGAAAATTTATTATTATCTTCCTTGGGGTTTCTCTCCCCACCCCACACTAATGTCTGCCACATTTCTTGGGCTAATGTGCTTGGAAACAGGGCCAGTCCTCTTCCTGGTGGTCAATCCACAGTCGTTGCTGCAGAGGTTTTTACCTTTGTACTAGTGCAGCAGTTCTATTCCGTGCCATAGTTAAGGAACAAGAAAACTGGGTGCCTGGGTGGCTCAGTTGGTTAGGCGACTGCCTTCGGCTCGGGTCATGGTCCTGGAGTCCCGGGATCGAGTCCCGCATCGGGCTCCCTGCTTAGCGGGGAGTCTGCATCTCCCTCTGACCTTCTTCCCTCTCATGCTCTCTCTCTACCATTCTCTCTCTCTCTCAATAAATAAATAAAAATCTTTAAAAAAAATCTTACAAAAAAAGGAATAAGAAAACTTCTGTCAGGCTAATGTTGAATTCTCTGCCTAGAAGAGTAAGTTGCTAAGGGCTTGGTCTGTATGGTATTGACCAATATAGGTTACTTATTCACTGGTGACAGATTATTCATTCCCTCCTGGCTCAGGGTCTCTCATGAGGTTGCAGTCAGATATCAGCAAGGGCTGCAGTCATTCAAAGGCTTGACTGGGGCTGGAGGAATTACTTCCAAGGTAGCTCACTCATATAGCTGACAATTAGGTGCTAGCTGTTAGCTTGGAGGCCTGAGTTCCTCCACATGTGGGCTCCTCCTTAGGGCTGCTTGAATGTTCTTATAGCATGAGAGCTGGCTTCTTCTCTTCCAGAGTGAGAAGTCCCAGTGACAAGGAGCGCTAGATGGAAACTCTCTTTAAAACTTATCCTCATAAATCACATAGCAATCACTTCCTTATAATAACATCCTATTCCTAGGCTCCTGCCCTGGATCCTGTGCCTCAGAGGGCCTCAGCTTTGGAGGGCCTTCCTGGAAATGTTCTAGATGTCCCTTATGTGCCTGGGACCAGCCAGGGCCAGCAGGGCTATCAAAGCTGAGCCCAGACCAGGCCCTGAATGAGCCCTTCTCCCAGTTTCTCTCCTTCGTGGCACTCTCCAATCCCACGTTGCCTGAGAAACTCTGGAACTCATGTCTGTGGGGTCATCCCAAGGCCCTGAGACTAGGTCTCAATTTTAAGAGGGCATCCTGATGAGCCAACTACTCTTTCTGGACAGCACAGTATTCCTTTTGGGGAATCAGGTGAAATTGTCTCCAGGATGGTGCTAATAAGCCTATTTGTAGTCACATGGAAGATGAGTTCGGGCCTCTGGGCTACCAACAGAGCTTCCCCAGCTCTTGGACTTGAGTCGTGTGTATGGGTCCCTGTGTTGACCCTCTCTTTTCAGTGTTCTGAATGTGGAGCTACCGGTAGTCCATAGCACCAGAGGACAGTAGACTGGCAGCAGGCATCTTTTCTCCTGTACATCATCGCATACCACCACCCCACTGTCTACTCCCCCACTGGCACCCAGGGCAGTAACTCCATTCCCCCCAAACACCCTGGGACACATATCAGGCAGTCATCTGGGAGTAGCCCCACCTTTCTCCTCCAATGTAATTTCGAGGTGCTTTTGAGACCATCACTTCACAGTACCAATAGGCCTTTTCCAACTGATGTCCTCTTTTGCTTCTGAATGATGTGGTGATAAAATGCCCTCCTCATGTTAGTCTTAAGTCATGCCATATGAGACAGGCACAAATGGCATCATTCCTCTTGCTGTACCCGTGAGTCCCCCACATATACTCCTGTTGGTGGTGGTGTATGGAAGATAGGGATGTGGTCAACACTGAAAGAGATCACAGTCTGGGAATGCTGTGATTATAGAATACAAGAGAAGACACGTTTGGAAGAGGTGTTGTTCTATGTTTATGGCATAAAACTCTGAATGAAAAGTTAATGTGACTGTACGAAAAAATTATTGCTCAAAATTTCCTGCATACTCTGGGTAAGACTTCCATTTGTGGTCATCATCAACAGAGCACAGTAATAATTTTTGAGAGAGTCAAGGGCAACATGATGAATGATGTGGTGTCATGAGTGATGATGTAGCCAAGAGTAAATAAATGGTATAGAAGAACTACAGAGACAAGACTATCTTTATTGTTTCAATATAAAAATTTTCCAAAGAGCCATGGCGTTGTGTTTAGTGTTACTATATTTTGTCCTGGTGGGAGATATGAAATTAGCCAGGAAGGACATATTTGACAATAAAGAACATAAGGAATATGGTGGGGGGTGGGGCGTAGGGGTGGGGGGTAGGAAATAGGTGAAGGGAATTAAAGGGTATAAACCCATGCTCCTAATCATGAAGCTGTACAGCCTCTCATTGTAAAATTGACATGTATTGTTAATGTAATTTTGTAAATATGTGTGTGTGTTAATTTAATAAAAGCTTTGAAAGAAAATGACAGTTCTACCTGACTTGAAGTGCTAGGGGTGTATAAGACGATGGGGGGAAGGGAGGAAGATAGCAATAGGTTCTACATTCCAGAAGCTGAGGAGGAGAATGTGGCAGAGTTAAGGAGATGGAAAGCAGGCTGAGTTCCTGAGCCTAGGGCAAGGATGAGGAGGAGAACAGGAAGAGGGGGCAAGCTGGGAATGACTTGAGGCCCTTGGTCTAAACTCAACTTTAGGGGAACCACTGTGGTTTCCCAACAAGTAGAGATAAACATGGCTTCCCTGAAGTCATTTTTTCTGTATCTCACACCTTTCCTTGGCTACTTTTACAGCCTCAATACCTCCTTCTGATCTCAAATGCACTGACCTTGTTCTGCCCAGTGGTTATGAGAACAAGCAGCTCACAGGAATGAAACACATTAAAATCCACACCATCACTTCTAAGTGTGTGTGAGTATTTAATATACTGTTTAAGATTCAGGAGGAGGCCTCTCACTTCCCAGATCTCATTTGCATATCCATTGACACCTGAAGGACAGGAATGAAGAAAATTGAGTTTTCTGTTTTCCAACCTCAGTATTATGGGCAATTATTACTGAAGACTGGCAGGAGAAAAAAAATACCTAAAAATATAGTTTGCAACATTTTTTTTTAAAGATTTTATTTATTTATTTATTTGACAGAGAGAGACCAGCAAGAGAGGGAACACAAGCAGGGGGAGCGGGAGAGGGAAAAGCAGGCTTCCTGTGTAGCAAGGAGCCCGATGTGGGGCTCCATCCCAGGGCCCTGGGATCAGGACCTGAGCCGAAGGCAGACACTTAACGACTGAGCTACCCAGGTGCCCCCATGCACCAGATTCTATGGTAAACACTAGAGATGTGCTTGTGCAAATAGGTACAGCCCCAGCCCCCATGGAGTTTTCATGCTAGTGGGAAAGACAGACAAACCAAAAATCACGTAAGTGAATATATACAAGAGGTTTCTTTCCAGTCCAACCGTCTCTGCTTTAATTTTTTTCTCAGGTATAATTGACATATAACAAACTGCATATATTTAAAGCATCCAATTTCATGAGTTTTGACATGAAACCATCATCATATTTTTTTTAAGATTTTTAATTTATTTATTTGAGAGAGAGCGAGAGCCAGAGAGAT